CCCTCAAAGAGGTCGACAAAAAGAAACTACTCGCATTCGAAATGAAATGCTACCGACGTCTACTAAGGATCAATTGGAAAGATATGATATCCAACGATGATATAAGGAAAAGGATATCGCAAGATGAAACCATAGTAGACACCATCAAAAAAAGGAAACTAAGAATGTTTGGTCATATCTGTTGAATGGATGATAATAGGCTGATTAAGCACATTGCTTTCACAAAGATGAATAGAAAATCTCGAAAGGGTCGTCCATGCAGAGAATGGATGGACGACATCACAGAATGGTGTAGGCGAAGTGGACATGACTTGTTCCATCTGGCGCAAGACCGATGGATATGGAAAAAACTAGTCCGAACAGTGGTTGGCCCCAACGGGCGATAAGCCTATGGGATCTCATGAATCATGAATCATATCATGATCAATTATATTTCACAGATATAAACAAAATAAACTTGTTTTTTTTGTTAAAACTAATATAACAAATAGAAAAAACAAGAAAAATAAAGTAGATTAAATAGCATAAATATAATGTTAGAGATCTGTTTCTGTTTGAATAAATTATTTATTGTCTATATAAAACTTATTTTAAATTGAATATTCCCAAATAATTATAATAAAATAGATAAGTATACTATTAATCAATATTTATACTTTTGAATATTCCAATAATAAGTCGAAATAATAATAAATTGAATTGTTATCATTTCAATCAACGGTTGAATGAATAACATTATTGGTAAATATATCTCAATAAATCAATTAAATCATAGAATATCGAATGTCGATGAAGAGAGATTTTCGACAGTGATCAATTGATACAATTTAGAAAACAAAAAAAAAGTCATAGACAATTGTCCAATGGTCATTTTCTTAATTAAATTAATAAAATAAATCTAATAGAATAATCATATTGATATCGATATCGATTCGATTTTATTTTAGTTTTTCGTTTAAAAAAAGTATATTTTTATATAATATTATTTATTTTGTCGAAGTTTATCAATAGATATGAGATTATATTTATATAAGAATAATCAGATTAAATAAATAGTTTTATTATCAATCGAACATTGAAATAGTTATTGATTATTCAATTATTAATATACTCTATTAAAACATATTCGTTTAAATTATTTTCTATTTATTGTCAATGTCAATGATGATGATGATGTTATTATCGTCAGTTATACTTCGAATGTGTTTACTAATTGAAAGGCGAAAAAGAACAATCCTACCCATACCATGACGATATCATAAAACAAATTTATTGATTATTTATCTAACATAAATAATATCTTTGTTCAATCATTGTCTAGACGATGATCGATGGTCACTATTTATTTGTGTGTTATTAGATTCTATTCTATTCGAATATAATATTAAATTAATTTAATGTCTTATTGTTTATTTTCTATATAATCAATGTTAGTTGTTGATAAAACCTAACTTCTATCGATAAATCTATATTTATTGCCGAATAAATATAATTCTATAGAAGATAATTAATATTGTAAATATAGATATATTATTGATATTGAAGATAAAATAAAACCTTTTTAATATATATAGAGACTTATTTGTTTCATATATTGAAAAAATATTTTATTTTAATTTGATTAATTAATTAGAAATAAATCAATAAAAACTAAAGAAAATAATAAATTTGAAAAAATAAATTCAAGTTAATTTATAATTGATTATTTTAAAATATTTCGATAATTAAATAAATATAGATCAATATTAAATTCATTTATTAAAAATAAATCATAAACGGTAACAAAAAATTCCTTTTTTTCGATTAATTTTATTTTATTTAGAATTTAAATTGTTAAAATGATGACGATGATGATGATATTAACATATTAATTTACTTATTTAACAAAAAATAATGATTTATTTATTGTACGGATTGTTAATGTTAATTATCTGCTATTAATGCTATTTTACTGAGTAATTATATATTATAGTAAGACTATTCAATCGTATGAAAACACTTGTTCTCTACTCTTCAATTGTTAATATTATCTATTAAATCATTTAATTTTTGTTTACTTTATTTATTAGTGTCGAAATTGTTAAATAAATATAATTCTAACTGATAAATAATATATATCGTCTATTTAAATATAATTTATTCTGTTTTTTTTTATCGATCTTTTGAAAACCGAATATTTTCGAAGAAGAAAAAAAAAAAGTGTCACGTCATCTATATGACGTTGAATTCTTATTGGTAAATAAATAAAATAGCAGATGTCTATCTAATTCTATTCTATTCTAATCTATGAAAAGATAAACGATCGATAATAAAAAAAGTAAAAGTAAATATGGAAAAATTAGTTGTTAAATGTTTAAATAAACGTGAAAAATGTTTTGAAATAAATTCATGTCCAATATGGTTATTATCAATTCTTCCAAATCGAATTAAATCAATTGAAAAAAGTAAATATAATGATAATGAAGATAAAATAAAAGAACGAATTAATGATATATCAACATATAAATATGTTAATTTAATTGAATTATTTAATGAAAATAAACGACAAGAAGAAGAAGAAGAAGAAGAAGAAGAAGAATATATTAATTATAATATTGAATATCCAAATAATATTCAATATTCAAATGATTTATTTTCAAATTATTCACAATTAATATATTCACCATCAAATAAACAATTTAGTTATTTATTTAATATATTAAAACAATATAAATATAATATTAATAAAACATTAAAAGAAAAAGAAAAAGAAAAAGAAAAATCTAAATGTAAAATTTTAAATTGTTTAAATCGTTCAATCCCATTAACTAATTATTGTCAAATACATTTAATAGAATATGATAATAAACAAATATTATTTATAATATGTAATCTTTGTCAACATATATCTATTAAAAATGATAACAATTTTATTATTCATCATTGTCCTTATAATAAAACATAATTTAAAACAACAAACATTATATCATATCTTCTCATCTTTTTCTTTTTCTGTGTTTTTTCTGTTTTTTCTATTATCTGTTAGAGACTTTTTTTATTAAAAAGTAAAAAGTAAAAAGCAAAAAGTAAAAAGAGGATATATATCATTTGTTAACTGGTTGTTGAAGGAAATATGGCGAGTATATTTCGAAGTGAAGAAATGACATTATGTCAATTATTTTTACAACCTGATGCTGCTTATTCATGTATTGCAGAATTAGGTGAATTAGGAATAGTTCAATTTCGTGATGTATGCATTTATTTATTTTAAAAAACGAAAATTCTTTTTTTCTTTTTTCTTTTTTCATTTAAGTTAAATCCAAATGTTAATTCATTTCAACGAAAATTTGTTAATGAAGTTCGACGATGTGAAGAAATGGAACGAAAACTTCGTATGTAATATATATAATTGTGTATCTCTTGTTATATATTAAATAAAATAAAAACTAGGTTTTCTTGAAAGTGAAATAAAAAAAGATGAATTAACATTATATGAACCAGATGAAAATCCTGATGCACCTAAACCTCGAGAAATGATCGATCTTGAAGTTTGTTATTTCATATTTATTTATTATTTATTGTTAATATTATTTTTACAGGCAATTATTGATAAACTTGATCATGAATTAAAAGAAATAAATACAAATGCTGATGCACTTTTGAAAAATTTTAATGAATTAACTGAATTAAAACATAATTTAGCAATGACACAAACTTTTTTTCAAGATGTAAACAATTATTTATTTTATTGCTACTTATATTTAATCATATTCGATCTTTTCTTGTTTTTATCGATTAATAATCAATCATTTAAAGCTCAATTATTATTAATTCATTTTAAATAAGAATTTGCTAAGAAATAATTAATTATAGAAGAAAACAATTTAATTGATAATAATTTATTTAATAATTAATAATGCTACTTTTTTTTTTATTTAAAATAGAAAAAAAAAGTAACTAAATATAATATTTATTTTGTTAAAGACACAACAAGTTCGACTTGATCTATCAGAAAATCTTGCTGAACAAAAAGCCGAAATTGATGATCAATATGCAACAACGATCAATGTTGGAATGAAACTTGGGTTTAAACATTTTTTTTTTCTTTTTTCATACATATATATATATAATAATTGTTTTGTTTAGATTTGTAAGTGGAGTTATATCACGTGAACGAATTCTTGCATTTGAAAGAATGTTATGGAGAGTTTGTCGTGGAAATGTTTTTTTAAAACAAGCTGATATACCAGATCTTATTCAAGATCCTATAACGGTTTTAACTTTTATTTTCATCTTTCGTTTACTTTTTATTAACAATTATTTATATTTAGGGTGAAAAACTTGCTAAAACAGTATTTGTTGTTTTCTTTCAAGGTGAACAATTAAAAACTCGTGTACAAAAAATTTGTGAAGGGTTTGTATATTTATTAAATAAACAAGAAAAAAATAAAAATAAAAATAAAAACGATTTAGTTTTCGTGCAAATATTTATCCATGTCCCGAAAATGCCAATGAACGTCGAGAATTAGCAATGGGTGTAATGACACGTTTAGAAGATTTAAATGTTGTTCTTCGTCAAACACATGATCATCGTCAAAGAGTTTTATTAGAAACATCAAAAGCAATTCGAACATGGTTAATTAAAGTTAGAAAAATCAAAGCTATTTATCATACAATGAATATGTTTAATAATGATGTTGCAAGAAAATGTTTTATTGCTGAATGTTGGACACCAAATTCACAATTAGATACACTTCAATTAGCATTAAGAAAAGGATCAGTATGTTATTCGGTTTTTTTGTTTTTTTCTTATTTTTGAATATAATTATATATTTAAATAATTTAAGGAATTAAGTGGTGCTGGTTCAATATCATCTGTATTAAATAGAATTGAAACAAATGAACAACCACCAACACATCATAAATTAAATAAATTTACACAAGGTTTTCAAAATTTAGTTGATGCATATGGTGTTGCAACATATAGAGAAATAAATCCAATGCCATTTGTATTAATAACATTTCCATTTTTATTTGCTGTTATGTTTGGTGATGCTGGTCATGGTTTAATTGTATCAATATTTGCTATTTGGATGGTTTTAAAAGAAAAAACACTTAAAACAAAATGGAGAACACAAGAAGTTTGGACAATATTTTTTGGTGGAAGATATATTATATTATTAATGGGATTATTTTCAATATATACAGGACTTATTTATAATGATGTTTTTTCAAAATCTTTTAATATATTTGGTTCATCATGGAGAGTTAAATTTGAGTAAGGATAATTAATTCAATATTGAAATTTTTTCAAATAATTTATATTAATTAATGTATTTTGTTTTTTTCTTTTCTTAAGTGATAAAACATTAATTAAAAGTGAGTCTGTTACCTTAGAACCAAATCCAACTCTATATAATTCAACAACACCCGATCAATTTCAACAAATGTATTCTAGTAATCCATATTTATTGGGTATTGATCCGGTTCGTTTTATTTTTTCTTTTCTTTTTATTCATTTTCTAAAATAAAAATTGAACATAAATAGATTTGGCAATTAGCTGATAATAAAATAACATTTACAAATTCTGCAAAAATGAAATTTGCAATTATTATTGGAATAATTCAAATGGGTTTTGGTGTTTTTCTTAGTTTATGGAATCATTTGTAAGGATTTATAAAGATAAATAATTAAAAACAAAATGTTGTTTTATTGTTTTTTAGTCATTTTAAACATTATCATGGAATATTTGTTGAATTTCTTCCTCAAATAATATTTTTATCTTCGATTTTTTTTTATTTAATTATATTAATATTTTATAAATGGACAAACTATCAAGGAAAAGATGGAGGAGATGCTCCATCACTACTCATTCGTAAGTTCATTTAACAATTAATATTATTTTATAATAAATTGAATTTATTTTAAAAACAAACAAAAAACCAAAACATAGATTTAATAAATATGATGTTACTATCTTATCCTGACAATCCACCTAGTTCAAGATTAATATATAAAGGTCAAAAGACAGTTCAAACAGCATTATTAGCTGTAGCTGTTATTTGTATACCATGGATGCTTTTAGCTAAACCAATATATACTATTATTAAAAGAAGAAAACGAAATAATGTAATAGATTATTTATTGTTTTATTTTGTTTATTTATTAATTTAATTTTTTTTTCTTATTTTGAAAAAGCAAAAGCATTTGACAGTAACAAATCGTTTAGCAAGTAATGATATTGAAATGAATGATCATCATCCAAATCAAGAGGTTATCATTAAACAAATTAATCTAAACGCTTCATTTGTTCTTATTTTTATTCTTATTCTTATTCTTGTTGTTCTTGGATGCTGCTTTCATTTTCATATATTATTAATCGATAATAGAACTCAATATGCTGCTTTGTATTTGTAGAGTGGCGTCGTGCTGGACGTCAATACACAAAATGCCAAGACTAAGAATATTGTTGACGATGAACATCTCCATGATCAAGATCATAATGTGGAGGTGCTCACCGTTATTCTTTGATTTTATATTATTTATTTTTTTTTTTTCTCTAATATTAATTGTTAATAATAAAATAATATTATTTTATTATTTGTTTAGATTGATATGAGTGAAGTATGGGTTGAACAAGGTATTCATACAATTGAATATTTTCTTGGTTGTATATCACATACAGCTTCTTATTTACGTCTTTGGGCATTATCATTAGCTCATGCACGTTAGTTTACTTATTTTTATTTTTTATTTAATAAAAAAAAAAAATTTAATTAAGAATTAAGTGAAGTATTATGGCATATGGTATTTCATATTGGATTATCAATGAATGGTTATATTGGTGGAATAGCATCATTTATAGTATTTATGCCATGGTCATCATTAACTATATTTATATTACTTTTAATGGAAGGACTTTCAGCTTTTCTTCATGCACTTCGTCTTCATTGGTTTGTTAATATAATAATAATAATAATAATAATAATAATTGAATTGTTTATTTAATTATATTGTAGGGTTGAATTTCAATCAAAATTTTATAAAGGTGAAGGTTATCCATTTGTTCCATTTTCATTCAAAATAATTCTTGAAGAAATTCCACCAGATACTTAATTTAAACAAATCGAAACATTTAGTTTTTTTATTGATTTTATTTAAAAAAACAAAACAGGAATATATATAAAATGATTTTATTTTAATTGATTGATTTTATTTAATAAATAATAATTATATTTATTCATTTTATCTTTGTTTATTAAATATTTAATGATGTTTAGAAAAAAAAACGAAAAAAAAATTATCAATGAAATTCTTTGATATCTATATGATATTATATTATATTATATTTAAAAAACAAACAAAAAACTATTCTGATTGATAAAAGAAAAAGAAGACGAAAAAAAAAACGAAAAGTAAAATGAAATGTTAAAGATGATGGTGTTCGTTGAAGTGTGACAATAAATGTATGTCATTAAACAAGAGTAGATCATATCAACATGCGATCCATTAAGCACGTCGTCTAATGAACGAATGAATATGGGTATCGTCACGGCTGTCATCACATATATCCATCATTATGGTTGACCGATGATAAAAAAAAAAAAAAAAGAACCGTGTACTTATGTTATGCTGCAATATTTAAATATGAAATAAGCGGAAAAATATTGGTTAATGCGTGTTGTGTCATCAATGTAAAGATCTTTTTTTCTTTCTCTCGTTTCTCTCGTTTTTTTTTCTTTTTCTTTAATTTAAAATAAAATCGATTGGTTGATAAGTATTCGCTTTTCTTTCTTTTTTTTCTCTCGTTGTTTGATAAATTATTCTTATTTGTTAAATGAAATGTGTTTATTGAAGCGTAACTTTGCCCGTTCAATGGGTCAAAAATGATAGTATAGATAGATATTCTCTATTCTCTATTCTCTATTCTCTATTCTCTATCAGTTATCATTCATTCATATTTGACGACAGTCACACATCTATACACTTGTCTTTCATCTTGAATAAATTTATTTTAAAATAAAACAATGGGTCTCTTTGGAAACAAACGTGAAAAAAGTGAAAAGGTAGATAAATATGAATATCATGCATCATCAAAAGGTGGTCGACCAGGATATGGTCCACCAGCCTTAATAGGTGCTCCACCATCTTCATATTTTCCAGGTGTTGCACCTTATTTTGATGGTTATGGACCAATATCAGGACAAGGTAAAATGAGTAAATATGGTAAATATGGTGGTCCAAGTAAAAGTCTTTATGGTAGTGATCCAATGGCCCAAGCAATGTTATTACCACCTCAATCACCTGCTGCATTACAAGCTCAAGCAGCAGCTATGTTACAAATGCAACAATATATGCAAGGACAAGGTGGTGCTGGTGTACAATTTGGTGGTATACTTCCACCAATACAAATGCCATTAAATGCTGCTCAACAAATCGGATTATTGCCAGGTCAAGGTCAATCATATTATGGTTTAGGTGGACAACAAATGGGAACACCATTTTTTGATCCAACAAATCTAGCTTTTCAACAACAAGGTGCTTTTGCTCCTTATCAACAGCCGAATTTTTATGATCCATCAGCTGCTGCTGCATTTGCTGGTCCATATGGTTATATGCCAGCTGCTTTTTAGAAATCTATAGTTTAACAATAGACAATATAGTGTGAGCTTTTCTTTTTCTTTTTCTTTTCTTTTCTTTTCATTTTTCTTTTTTTTTTTTTCTTTGTTTTTTGTTTTGTATCAGTCATTTATACGAACGATATGAGTTGAGATAATCGAATAAAGGTGAGTGTTGTCCGGACATTAAAGACGTCTTATAAACTACACAATCCATTGCACAACTATCAGTTTTTGATAATCTCACTCGTTTTTATATCGTATTTATCTTTGTTTTATGATATTTTATCGTAGATTTTTCTTTGTTATTTAATTCTTTTTAATCCTGTTTTAATTATATTCAATGTTTAACTCGACATTGTTTTTTTTTCGTTTTCGTTTTCGTTTTCGTTTTCTTTTTATGGTCTCAATATATATGTACCATCATTATGTCGACGATTATACTTTTGAAAAAAAAAAGAAAAAAAAGAAGAAAATAAACTAAGAAGAGAATTGTTGCTCACTTGCATTTATATTATATTCAATTATAAATTCTTTCAATATATATTTATTATAAATAATAAATAATAAATTAATATAAGACAATATTTATTTATTTTATTTAAACAAAATCTTCAGAACTAGATTTATTTTAATAAGAATTAATAAAACAAACATAGAAATATTTCTTAGTTTGATTTTTTTGTTTTAATTAACTTTTCATTAAATATATAAATATATATAAGACAACATAACTCTTTATATATTCACAAAATAGATAAGTTACTTTTGTTTATTAGATAGGATTTATATTTATATTTAAACTATTTTCAATTGAAATATATATTGAACAATTATCTTTTTCATTTAAAAACAAAAATCATTCAATATAAACAATGATAATCAAAGAAAAATCTTATTTTTATTGATAAATAATAAATAAATAAATAGTTTTATCTCGAAATATTGAAATTAACAATAAAATAAAACAGTTTATTTTATTCGAAAAATAAATGTGAAAGATTTAAAATGAAAAACATTCTAATAGATAATATAGTGACATAAATTATGTTATTTATCATCTATCTATTACATAGAATTATCTTATAGAATTCTCTTATCAATAAAACATATTTTATTCTATCATTAACATTTAAATAAAAGATAATCATTACCATTTTGAGATAAAACTGATCGAAAAATTTTCATTATGAATAACTGAATATTAAAAAAAAAAAGTTATGATGAAATGACGATAAATAATATATATATATATTAGAAGATAGAAATCTATTGTCGCACTCTTTTATTTAATCTATTATAGAAACAAATAAATATTGAATAATTATCCGTCAATCTATTTATTATCTTCATAGGTTAATTTTAATCGGAACTCAATATATCTTTGTCAGACTATCGTTATTATATTGAATTAAATGTGTTTAGAGATTTTTTTTAACAGTCGATTTGACGTATTTTTATCTTTATTTTCAAATTTCTTTACTGTAAATATGTGCGTTTTGATAAAATGATATTATTCTCTTATTTTTTAATGAGTGTGTTATCAAAATAAAATAAATGAATTCATTGAAAAAAAACATTTCAATGAAAAGATCGAAGTATATTCTTAGTACTATAATCATTATCAATTGCTATCAAACAATAAATGATTTACATTCATGTTTATATTTAAAGATATAATTATATCGATAATCTATCTATTGATCAACTAAAAGTCAGAATATAGTGAAAAGACAATATCCAAAAATAAATAATCATATATTGGAATATTTGAACATTTTTAGTGAATTTTTAACTAACTATAGGATTAGTGATACAATATTATTTTACATTATTCTGAAATAGTTTTTCGTTATATTTACTAGATTCTATTGTTGAGAATGTTTACGGATTTAATCTCTTTAATCTATTATCGTTCGTAGTTTTCAGAATATATTCGGTGTGGATGTTTGAGAAAACAAAGTTGCAATTACATTTTGTGTTAGTACTGTGAATAATCGTTCATGTCGAAGCTCAATGTTGAATTGAAATATTCCATAAAATAATAAGTGAAGGGGTTAGTTTATACGATTTAAAATATTCTTGCTTCAATAATCTGAATAATTAATTAGTAGAATATTTAAATATCTGAAAAGATTTTCAACAATAGAAATTAACTTTCTTTATACCCACTATATCGACATTATTGAGATTACTAGTGTCCATTGACACTTCACACGTCAACGTGTGGAGACCTGTGCGTAAAGGTAACACTGTCACTCACTCAATTTGCGTATAGGCGACGGCGCAGATATGGCTCAGTCAATATCTATTGAATAATGAGTGGTGCAGTTATTGTTAAGTGTATTCATGTGAATAATAATGTTAATATGGTTAGAAATGAGGGTATGAGAATGAGTGTGAGTCTTGATCTAAGTGACAATTCGGATATCAACAGTCGGTTTACGAATTTGCATGGTCAATACTATAAACTTATCTGTATTGATGAAACCGTACGTCTGTCTGTGTGACTGTGATTTCGGGTGTGAGTGTGGACTATGCCTTTATGAGACGGTTGAAGAATTGTTCCTATTTACGGAAATATCGATCTTTTAGTATTTCGATAGGAGAGTTTCGTATATAATGATATGTTTCGAATGGTTTTTCCAGAAATAGAAAAACGACGTTTCATTTTCAACTGTTCATCTATTGAGTAAGAGTAAATATTTATTGAAATATATAAACGATAATTAGTTCAATTTCATTTCCCGAATTCAGATAAAATAGGGTGTGAATATGGTAGAGCTGGGCAAGTATGCCTTTTCTCGAGTACGAGTACGCGTACTGACCCCATCAGTACGAATATGAGTATAAGTACCAGTACGAATATCGCAAAAATCGCACTCGGCTATGAATATGAGTACGAGTACTTGACTCTCCGACCTCAGTACAAGTACTAGAAAAATCGTACTCGAGTATGAGTACTTCGAGTATTTTGCCCAGCTCTGGTATGTGAGTGTGGGTCAAGATGAAGAGAAGACTCACATCCACACACCACCCGTATTCACACCCATTGGTGGATTAACTCAGCATCCGAATTGATCATCAAGCATGTAAGACAAAATTCATGGTCAATAATAAAAGATGATATTATGAAGAAATCATGTAATAAAAGAGATGATATTTGCAAGCAAGAATTAGATAATGATCTAAGAAGAGATCATCTGTACAATAGAGTTGATTAGGTAACTGATTCATCTGATGAAGACACTTAATATATCGAATGAAAATAAACATTTTATACTAATTAATAAAGTATTATATTCTGTCTTATTTAAATTCTTTGCGACATGTTTCAGATCATTTTTTTCTTCTTGATCCTATAAGATTAACGTTCATTTTTTCATGATTCTTGCACTATTTTTTATCTTTTATCAAATTTTAGTATTTAAGAAAACAAGAGCATATTTATATACTTGAATAAATACAACAGACTTTTTAATTTCCTTATATTCTTCATAGAAGATTCACTATTGCTCAATTGTTATTGTATTCTATTCATATTTGTCTGACAGTAGAATTGAATCTGAAAGAATAATTAAATTCCCATAGCCGTATGGAAATATTTATTTTTAAGTTGGAATTTATTTATCGATATTTTCATTTCTCTATGCTTCAATGTAATGAAAAAAATCGACTGAGATAGGGCATACATTATTCATGTGAGATAACTTTCGAGAAAGTGATGGCGTCTTGTATTTCTTTTTTTCTCTTTCTAAAAATAATTTACGTAATTGATCATTCAAAGTAAACCGTTTTGAACTATCGAATGTAAAATCACAATTGAAGCACTCCATGGCTGGTAAAAATTGAAAAAAAATTTATATATTGGGGTGTGATAAGCAACGTAAAAGTCTTTGAAAGAAAAGCTTCGCGATAGTGTCCTGCGCCGCTCTATTCAATTTTGCGCCGTGTCATCGTTCAAAGCAAGCGGAAAAGATGAAAGCATGTGAATGTGAGCAAGAACGCATGGCAGTGTGAAAGGGTACCATTGATTTCTTTTTGAAACAATGTGAAGATTTATTCTTAAAAACAAAACATTTTATCCAATGGAATTGAAAGAATAATGACGAAATATAAATTAATTATTGTTCTAGTCAATAATATACTACATAAAATATCCTTGGGGATAATCTACGAAGAAAAAACTTTGTATCAATATACATAGGATGATTTCTTGTCCAAGCCGCCAATGAAACCTACAAGAAATGATTTGAGAAGGTTTTCAAAGCGTTATTGATTCCTCTGTCAGATATATTGATATGCAAGTCGTTTTGCTAAATTTATCCACTGACTTAATAAGGTTGATGATTTCTCATTTTTCATTGCATTACTTCATGGTAGAAGTCGATCTTTTTCACATAGATAATTATTATATTGTCGATGGCCATGATCGTGTATACCAAAGCTCGTTGCTTCGTTTCTTGAATACTAGTTGAAGTCTCCACGACAACATAACGATTTTCAAATAAATAAAACCGTTTCAGTAATCGTCTTTTTATTTTAAAATTTCACTCAAATTTTATCGCTTTATATCTGATGGATTATCATCATCAAAAATATATACAATAGTTGCAAGAAGTCCCGTTACCAGGTGAAATGTGCATAGATCTCATTCATTTTGCCTGATATTTTGAATAGAAATAGAAGTCGGCGAACCATAACAGAAAGCAGCAACTCGAGGTCGATAGATCTTAATGTGAAGAATATACGATAAAAACACTGTTTTTTTTTCTCTAGGGTCCTAAAAAGCTTTTTTGACAATTTTATGGTTTTTCACACTTTAAATGAATTAACCTCCGTTTTATTATTAACAAACAAAGATTCGCACAACCAGTCTCAGCATGGATTTCTTCTTCATTAAGGTCCCTCATAAAAGTCACTTTTCGTCGGAATGATCGAAATAAAAGTAAATGCAAGGAACGATAACACGTGATCTGATCTCTCATAAACGACAAAAATTTTTACTCAGAACC